CAGCAAAGCTGACTGACTCCTTGTGCTCTCTCTATCTGAGCTATGATGTGCAGGGACTTCAAGATGCTGATATTAAGCATCTTACCTTATGCTCAATAAGTCCAACAAATATGTGGTCATCTTGGTAGCAAATAACTTCTTGTGTTTTTTGCCTCTACTGAGTGTCATCATTTAAATTGTTTTCAGATATCCCTGTAGACTACAGAACACCTCCCCCTATGCTATGGAGATGAGGCAATGATAAAGATTTTCCATGATCCTAAAACCCTTCCTGCTATAGGGTGACAACACTGTTCCTTTCATAGCCTTAAAAGAAAAAAACTAAGGCTGCCATCTCATCAGGTACAGGACTCTCAGGGACTAGTAAACTCAGGGACTGGTAAACCTTTGAAGAGTTAAGGCCACTTAAGTGATTTGGTAACTGGTCACGGGCCACTATGAAATTAAATGGTTCCGAATTTCAAATTTTTTTTTTATTTGAATAGCATGATGAACATTTTCCTCTTGCAGCCTCTGAATGCCGGCAGGAGGGAGAAGAAGAGAAGTGGACTTTCAGCAGCTGTAGGATAAAAATTGAGAGAATTAGTTCCTGTATATGCCACCCCTCCTGTCCAAGTATAAAACAGAATGTGACAGGGAGGCCACACAAGCCCACTGAAGCATGGGGTTGTGGTTGACATTGCGCCCCCTGGCGCTACACCAGTGGTTAGGAGTGTGTGGTAAAAACACATCTAAACTATGGGCTTTTACCAACCCCCAAAATGGAAATGGAAATGAGGCCTTATTGTCCTGAGCCCCTTATAAGGCTGCTTTCACACTGATGTGCTGTGGTTTACCTGCACCGTGGGTACAGCACATTGCACCTGCGGATTTCCGGTAGGTTAGGCGCGGCTTTCCTTTAGTGCACTTTCTGAAAGTGCACCAAAAATTCAGCGTGAGGTCGAGGGCAACATCAGAGCACTTCAAGGGTTGAGCACCCCTGGTTTAGATGCATTAACCCTTAAAATAAGTCTCAATAGTTATCCTACCCATCCCACATTGCAAAAACACTAAAACCCCAAGCATAATACAAACCTAACCACGAAACTGGACCCAGTGGCTGTCCAAACATCCAAATAGTGGTTGCATTTGATTGGTTGCAATGACTTTTTGGCTGAACAATTCCTGCTCAACTTCATCGATTTTTCAGTTGCAGGGAGAAAGCCGACATCGCCAGCCACAGAGATAATTTTGGCCAGTTTATCAGGAACTGACAAAATGTGATCAGTGTATGGCCAGCTTAAATCTTAAAGCAGAAATAAATGCATTGATTTAAAGTGGTTGTAATCCTCAGACATAAAATATGAATAAAGCATATCCCTCTATACTGTGTACTTGTCTCAATCCAGAGCACTGATGTGTCATTTCTCTCTGTTGCTTTGTTTCTCTGCCATTTGCATGAGTCACTTCTGACTACTTTTCCTGACACTAAGAGAAAAATGTGACAGGGGAGGAAGCTCCAGCACACAGTCTGTGAATGACAGCCTCAGCTCCTGTGAGTTGTGTGAAGGGGGGTGTTTCCCTTCTCTCCAATCTTCCTGCAATCACATGCCTGAAGAAGGGGCCCTGCACAGCTCTGAAACGTTTCACTTTTTTGTAATGTGATCTTTTTCAATAAAAAGACATTCTGACTTATTTGAAGATCAATGCTGTGAGTGGCAAATATTTACACAGTGTTGTGCATGCTCCAGTATCCAGCTGATGGTCACTGCAGCACCCAGTACCTTTGAGAACCCATTTCAGGAATGTTTGTGTGAATCAGCTATCAGCTATTCCTGCTCTCTAACTCCCTTGTCTCCTCCCATGCTCATCTCCAGGACATCTCCAGAGCTTTCCCCATCCTCTGGAACTCTCTACCCCAATTTATCAGACTGTCGCCTACTCTGCTCACTTTTAGGCAATCTCTGAAAACCTATCTCTTCAGGGAAGTCTATCCTGCCCTCAGCTAATGATGGAATCTTCTACTCCTCCAACCAGTCCATCCCCCACAGTTACTTCCTCTTGTACCATTAGCCCCTCCCTCCTAGATTGTAAGCTCCAAGGAGCAGGGCCCTCCTAACCCTCTTGTATTGAACTGTATTGTTGCTGTATTATCTCCCATTATATTGTAAAGCTCTGAGCAAACTGTTGGCGCTAAATAAATCCTGTATTATAATAATAATAATAATAATCAGAGCTCTCCCCACTGAATTCTGCAGAGTGTAACTTCAGCTCCCTGCCCCCTGATTTTTGAAAGCTCAGACAAGCTGTATAAATTCTGTACTTTGAATGAATGTAGAGGAGAGATGACTGCAGATTAACAGGTACAATTTATGTAGGAGAATTTGTTTCATCTCTGGGTATCACCTGAGGCCAGTCACTTCACTTGGGTATATGTAAGAGTTTATAACCACTTTAGCTGTTTCCAAAACAGTTACATTCAAGGCATGCCATGAATGATAACTGTCACAGTTGTTTTTGCTCTCAACTGAACTCTCAAGCTATTAAATGGCTGGTGTCATAACTAATCACAAGAAAACTGCAGATAAAACAGAGACTAAAAGGGCAGCTTCCTTTGCTGTAAAGGATAGGAGGTTTAGTTTTGCTTTAACACCAACTAAGAACTAGTCTTTTTCATGCTCACCTTATTTTTTGGCAGGAATATTTGTACCAGCAATATAATTTATAAAAATAAAAGCCTATACAGCTCAGGCTTCTCTTTGATACTGCACTGAAAGTAACACATGCTGGATCATTAGTTACTGATTTAGAAGAGAACAGGTATGTTAACCACTTGCCGCCTAGCCACTGTAGATATACGGCGGCAGGGGGTGGCACTGGCAGGCAAAACCACGTTTTAAAACGTGTGTTTTGTAAACAAATAGGGGACGCGCGCGAGGTGCGCCACCGCCCTATCTGTCCGGCCGATCACCGCCGCAGATGTCAGCCGCCGGGTCACAGCCGGTCCTTAGCGGCTATGTCCCGGCGATCGGCGGTAAACAGTGACAGAGAGCACAGCTGCAGTAGCTGTGCTGTCTGTCACTTCCTTGTCAGCTTGAGGACGAGCTGATCGAGACAGAAGAGTTTCTCTCTCTCGATCAGCGGTGTCCTGTGCAGCACACACCCCCACCCCCTAGTAAAACACTCCCCCTCACTCAGATAACCCTTCCCTGCAAAATAAAGTTAACCCTTTCCTCCCCAGTGCCATTAGTACAGTGTCAGTGTTTTTCTTTTTGCACTGATCACTGTATTAGTGTTTTTGGGGATGTCAGTGACCCCAAGTCAGTACCCCCCCAATGTCAGAATGTCCGCCGCAGTCCCGCCATAAGTCGCTGGTCGCTGCCATAGGTCCCTGATCGCCGCCATAATTCGCTGATCGCCGCCATTATTAGTATAAAAAAAAAACTAAAAATCCCAGTATCTTCCCCGCCATTTGTAAACGCTATAACTTTCACGTAAACCAATTAATTTACACGTATTGTTTTTTTTTTTAGCAAAGACATGTCGCAGAATGCATTTTGGCAGAAATGTATGACTAAATTTGATTTTTACATTTTTTTTTACTGGACATGTTTTATAGCAAAAAGTCCAAAATATTGTTTTTTTTTCCTCAAAATTGTCAGACTTTTTTTTTTATAGCGCAAAAAATAAAAACCACACAGGCGATCAAATACCACCAAAAGAAAGCTCAATTTGTGGGGAAAAAAAGGATGTAAATTTCATTTATGTACCGTATTGCATGACCATGCAATTGTCCATTAAACTAGCGCAGCGCTGTATAGCAGAAAAATGGCGTAAATTGCAGTATTTATACCATAGTTTGTAGACGCTATAACTTCCACACAAAGCAATCAATATACACTCATTGGGATTTTTTTTACCAAAAACATGGAGCAGAATACATTTTGGCCTGAATTTATAACCAACTTTGAGTTTACTATATATTTTTTATAGCTGAAAGTAAAAAATATTGTTTTTCTTCAAAATTTTTGGCCTTTTTTTGTTTATAGCGTGAAAAATAAAAAGCACACAGATGATCAAATACCACCGAAAGAAAGCTCTATTTGTGTGAAAAAAAAGGACGTAAATTTTGTTTGGGTGCAGCATTGCATGACTGCGCAATTATCAGTTGAATTAGTGCAGCGCCGAGTAGCAAAAAGAGGCCTGGTCATTAAGGGGGGGTAAATCCTCTGGAGCTCAAGTGGTTAAGTAGAAATAAGAATTTGGCTTATAAGGATGAATCTGATTCCCCCCATCTATGCAGCTTCTGTACACTCCCTACTACACAAGATAATAGTAAACATCCCAACAGAATTTCAATGTTGTTACTTTATAGATTACATCTTCCAGTGCTGTCATAAGACTTCACAGTCAAGTGCAACATGAATACCAGAAGTGTAGTCACCATGTCAAAAAAAGTAATTGCTCTTAATGTTATCCCTGCAGCTTACATTAAATTAAGTAATTTCAATAAACAGATATGGAAAACACTTTCTGACATCAATATGGACAAAAAAAGATAAGAGTTGAAATACCTGGGAAAAGCAGTGAGTTAGACAATAACACCACCTAGTGGTTCCTGTACTTTGTGAGTGAGGAGCCAAGTGAATACAGAATAAAAGGCAAAAGAACAATTCCTTGCTGGATGTTTGTAGGAAAACACAGAAGTGTCTTTGTAAAATTCAGAGAAATAATGGTTCTTTATTTCCTGAGATATTAATTTATTCCATGTCAAACAGGAACTTAAGGTATATGCAAATCCAAATACACTATATTGCCAAAAGTATTGTGACACCAATATGTAAAAGAGTGTGCCACATGTATATCTACAGTATATGAACAATCAATCTGTGCAAAAGAAAAAAATATATGTAGCAAAAAATGATAATACCACATGTAAATACACTATATTGCCAAATCATTGGATTTAGGCGTTCCAATCACCTCCATGGCCACAGGTGTATAAAATCAAGCACCTAGGCACGCAGACTGCTTCTACAAACATTTGTGAAAGAATGAGTCGCTCACAGGAGCTCAGTGAATTCAAGTGTGGGGTCGTAATAGGTTGTCACCTGTGCAATAAGTCCATCTGTGAACTTTCCTTGCTACTAAGTATTCCGCGGTCAGCTGTTAGTGGCATTATAACAAAGTGGAAGCAACTGGGAACAGCAGCAACTCAGCCACAAAGTGGTAGGTTACATAAAATGACAGGGTGGGGTCAGCGTATGCTGAAGCACACAGTGAACAGAAGTCGTCAATTGTCTGCAGAGTCAATAGCTAAAGACCGCCAAACTTTGTGTGGTCTTCAGATTAACACAACAGTGCGTAGAGAGCTTCATGGAATGGGTTTCCATGGCCGAGCAGCTGCATCCAAGCCTTACATCACCAAGTGCAATGCAAAGCGTCGGAATCAGTGGTGTAAAGCATGCTGCCACTGGACTATAGAGCAGTGGAGACGTGTTCTCTGGAGTGACAAATCATGCTTCTCTGTTTGGCAATCCGATGGACACGTCTGGGTTTAGCAGTTGCCAGGAGAACGGTACTTGCCTGACTGCATTGTCTCAAGTGTAAAGTTTGGGGGAGGGGAGATTATGGTGTGGGGTTGTTTTTCAGGGGTTGGGCTTGACCCTTTAGTTCCAGTGAAGGGAAGTCTTAAGGCATCAGCATACCAAGACATTTTGGACAATTTCATGCTCCTAACTTTGTGGGAACAGTTTGGGGATGGTACCTTCCTGTTCCAACATGACTGTGCACCAGTGCACAAAGCAAGGTCCATAAAGACATGGATGAGTGAGTTTGGGGTAAAAGAACTTGATTGGCCTGCACAGAGTCCTGACTTCAACCTAATAGAACACCTTTGGGATGAATTAGAGTGGAGAATGCGAGCCAGGCCTTCTCGTCCGACATCAGTGCCTGACCTCACAAATGCGCTTCTGGAAGAATGGTCAAGCATTCCCATAGACACTCCTAAACCTTGCGGACAGCCTTCCCAGAAGAGTTGAAGCTGTTATAGCTGCAAAGGGTGGGCCAACTCAATATTGAACCCTACGGACTAAGACTGGGATGCCATTAAAGTTCATGTGCGTGTGAAGGCAGGCGTCCCAATACTTTTGGAAATAAAGTATATGTTGCTGTTGTTCATTTTCCGGGAACGTCAAAAAACTTTTTACTTTTTTTTACTTTTTTTATTTCCTTATTTTGGTTAATTTCCTCATTGTAATCCTACAAGCCAAGTTTATCCACAGGTACTTACTTTCCTAGGATGGCACTGTCACCCTTTTCTGTTTGATACCAAGGTAGACTACAGGCAGCCATTCCCACACACATTCCACTCTACTCACTGCAGTAAAAGTGTCCGGCAGCTGCTGGAGCCTGACCATAGAAAGTTCATACAATAACTCTACTAAATGTGCAGAGGGAGAGAAAACATGAACATAAAGTGATCCAATTATTTACAGCGCTTTACAAATCAACTATTCTTTTGTGAGTTTAGTTCTAACGTAAAGCTGAACTCCAGGCAAATCGTTAAACAGATAAAAGAAAGACTCCTATTGGAGCTTTTCTGTGTCAGAGGATAAGTATTTCTGTTCATTTAGTCCTGAAGTTTATGCACTTCTGTCACAGGGCACACATGAAAACTTATTTTACTACCTTTTATACCACTAGCCCCTCCCTCTTAGATTGTAAGCTCCTAACCATCTTGTATTGAACTGTATTGTTGCTGTATTGTCTCCCGTTATATTATAAAGTGCTGAGCAAACTGTTGGAGCTATATAAATCCTGTATAATAATAATAATTTTTCTTTGCTGCAGTTCAGTACTATTTTTTCAGGCTCATCTCTTGTACTCTGTTCTCTCCTACTATCAACATGTCCCTGAAACTGCAGCACAACTGGCTTTTTGTGCTGCTTCTCCTTCCCATAGTCTGAGCTATGCTGTACAGATACTTACACATTGAGAGGATTTATTAAACTGGTGCAGGCAGAATTTGGTGCTGCTGTGCTTGGTAATAAATCAGCTTCTAACTTCAACTTGTTCAATTAAACTTTGACAATAAAACCTGGAAGCTGATTGGTTAGAACTGTGCCAGATTCTGTGTGCAGCAGTTTTAGTAAATCTCCCCTGTGAGGATTTAGAAAAACACATTTTAGTATATGCTAATGAATACAGAGCTGCATTCATTTGTGTCTTTTACATCCACCTGGAGATTAGTTTTAAAGAAATAAATTGAACGCCGTTCACTTACAAGATATACAAGCCCAGCACACCAGGCTAGTGTTCCTGTGTCTGAATAGTAGCAAGCCTGCAGAACTAACCCCAACCCCATACTGTTCAAGGCCGGGTGAGTTCTTCAATCAGTGCGCCATTAGAAATGTGGCCTCCCTCCCAATAAAAAAATCTAATAGGTCACAGCTGCTAGTATGGGATTGTAAGGGAAGGCCCTCATACCAGCTTCCCTCTAGTTACAGATATATCAATCTAAATAGCTGATGTGTTGGGCACCATTTGTTATTCTTTTGGTGAGAAGTGCCATCTTGTTTCACCATGATTATAAACGGGTAGAGAAAAATTTAATTATATAGGCACTTTCCGAATTTACTGATTCACAGTAGTTCAGTTGTTTGAGTTCAACAAATTCAGCAAAGCTGACCATATTGTCTGCAGGTAGCAAAGGGCTCGCCCACCAGTGCAGGCCGCACTTGTCATGCACACCCGCAGCCTGGCTCAGGAGCGAGCCTGCACAAGTAAAAGCTGCTTGCTATGGGGGCACTCAGAAGGGGGATGCAGCCAGGAGCACTGGCAGGGAACCTGAGAAGAGGAGGATCAGGCCTGCTCTGTGCAAAAACATTACACAGAGCAGGTAAGTAGGAAATTTGTGTTATGTAAAAAAAATACTTTTACATTTACTTTAGGTATATCAACTCCACTGGCTACCGCTCTCCTTTCTGTAGCTCATGTTACAGTTTTAGAACTGTTTAATTTCTATGGCCTGTAATTGCCTAATGCTGCCATCTACTGGATAAAACTGATATTGCATACAACATTCAGCATTTGTGTTGATATTGTTCAAACACAGAAACATGTTTTTGAAAACATATTTTTACAATATGTTATACAATTTTTGTCTTATACATACACAAACTATTTGAAAATTTCCCTCTTATTTAGTGAAAATATACATATGAGGAAATATTAGGGTCGTTATAATTAAACCAAAAAATTGTTAATACTACAGGTACTTATATAGCGCCAACAATTTATGCAGTACTTTACCTATGTATATATTGTACATTCACATCAGTACCTAACCCTCAAGGGGTGTACAATCTAAAGTTGCAAACTTACATCAATACACATACTAGAGCCAATTTAGACAGGATTCAATTAACCTACCAGTGTGGGAGGAAACCAGAGGAAACTCACACAGACACAGGGAGAACATGCAAACTCCAGGCAGTTGATGCCGTGGTTAGGATTTGAACCAATGACCCAAGTACTGCCAGGCAGAAGTGCTAACCATTTGGCCACTGTGCTATTTCATTTATGAAAGTGTTATTTTTCCCCTGCTTGTGTGTTCTTTATCAGTGAATATGCACAATTTCCGATTCATTTCATTAAAAAATGGTATTTAAAATAAACATAAATCCAATGCTTGATCTGAACCTGAAATTAAATATTGCATTAATTAATCATGCTTTAAATGATTTGCATTAAACTGAGCATGATTATTTCCTTTCTGTTATAGGAATGCATGCAAAGTGATTAGAATGCTAATGAGTGCAATCAGAAAGACAGAGTGGTGATCAGGATCAAAGTGTTTTCTATCTACTGGAGTCAGCCATGATGAATACTCTGCAGACTTCTTCTGCACTTGATCTTGAGCAGAAAAACAAAAGATAAGAGGTGTGTGTACACAGTCATGCATTGTGATGTCTGAGCTGCTTCTGCATTCAGATTGACTTGTAACTGCAAGTAGGCAAAGAAATGATCGTAAAACAAGTAAAATAACATAAGTGGTTATTCACTCCAATGCCTTGTAAGTGCACCTAAAGCTGAAAATATTTCTAGTCCTACAGCTTTTTTTTCCCAAACTGACCCATAATAAAATAAGTCTCATGTCATGCAGGCAGCTGGATCTTGTAGAAATCTTTACTGCAGGGATTTCCTAACCTATTCCCCTCTCTGGATTTCCAGCACGTAGAGGGGCGATAGCTTTGGGTCTCCAGGCTGAATTCAATTAAAAAAAAAAAAGAAATAAAAACTTCTCAATGTGGGCCCACTCCCTCCTCCTCCATTGAAAACAGTTATTTTATTGCTTTCACTGTCTGTAATGTGATCTCTGAGTGAGAGAGAGTCTGATGAATGACAGGAATCTCTCCTCCATTCACAGATTGTGTTACAGGTAGTGGAAGCAAGGAAAAAACTTTCAATGGAAGAGGATGGAGGAGGGGGCAGTTCCACTTTTTCTATTCAGTTAAATTTAGCCTAGAGACTCAAAGGGTCAAGTATTATTGTCAGTGGCACCGATTTCATTGTATGTGTGTTTTTTATAGTCATGCTTGCTGCATTTTTAGTCAGGTAAGTATTGAGGGGGCTGGGGCCACTGTTGCACAAAGAAGGTTTTTTACCTTCATGCATAGAATGCATGAAGGTAAAAAACCTTCAGCCTTTACACTCACTTTAATGCTAAGATTAAGCAATACCTGGTGCTTAACTGCTTGCCGACCACGCACTGTAGTTTTACTGCTGCAGTATGGACCAGCTCTGCAGAATCATGTATATATGTGATTGTTTATTTCCAGGTAGGGGGTGCACGTGTGTCCACCCACCTGGCTGAGTTCTTACTGGTTGCCTTAAATGCTGATCCGTGTGTCGCAGCCAGTTATTAATGTCTGGGACTCGTCGATCAGCGGAGCAAGCAACAGGAGAGAGATCATAAACAACACAGATCTCTCTACTGACAGCAGGAGGGTGTCAGTTTTTTTTTTCTCCCTGCAAAGCAGGGAATAAAAATTGTCACATCCCTTAGTAAAAGCAGCACATGGTTAACACAATAACACTTACTAGGCACATGGTTAACAGTTTAATTGCTCCAAATGCTAACCCCTTCCTACCCAGTGTCATTAGTACAGTAACAGTGTATATTATTAGCACTGATCACTGTATTAGTGTCACTTGGATGTCAGTGTCAGTTAGTCAGTGTCAGATTGTCCATCGTACTATTACAGTCACTTATAATCTAATTGATACTGTTGATATGTTGATAATTGGGGTGTGTAGTATCAGTATATTCCTCACCAGCCCATACCACCCAATTTCATAAAAAATCACTCTAATCCCCAATCTCTACCTATATGGCCGATTATGTTATTGCAGGGCATTTTAACATGGCACCATGCCTGTCAGTGAATAAATTGGCCTCAGACACTGCTGTTGCCTCTGC